GCTGCCATAATGCTGAACAGGACAAGGTAAAAAAAATAAAATAAAATTAAAGTGGCACTGCCCCCTAGAGGGTCAATTTGTTACTACATACTCTGTCTAGAAGCCCATATTTACGGACAAGCTTTAGCAGATCGTCCCCCAGACACTCTCGCTAAAAACATAAAAGACCTCTATAGACGTCTTTGGCAGCCAGTGAGTTAATTTTAAATAGTTTAAAGGTTTAATTTGCACAGAACCATTCTGAATCTAATTGTTAGGATTTATTTGGTAATTTTCCAAGCTCCTCCCATTAATTTGGCAGAGTTAAAACAGCCAGGGGTTGTGGTTTGGGGGGGGAATGTTAGGTGTGATGCCGGTAGGTTTGCCACAAAGAGTTTTTGACCACGCTACACGCTATACTTTTGTATGTTGTATGTTTGTTGTATGTTTGTTGTATGTCTTGTATGTCTCCAAGTTATTTAGACTGCTTTTTGTTTGTTTGACAGCCGTTTGCACCTGTTTGAGCAGAGCCAGCACGTAGAGCGGGAACAGGCGCATGGCGGCGGGCAGCAGCAGCCCCGCCGGCTGCATCTGGGACACGTTGCTGCGGTACGAGCTCACAAAATCCACCACCGCGTTCACCAGCGCGTCCCGGGCATCCGACAGGCTGGAGGACACCGACCGGTCGATGGCTGGGGGGAGAGAGGAGAAAGGAGAAAGGAAAGGCTTGAAAATACAGTTTACACTCAGTCTGACCAATAATAAAAGTGTTCTTTAACCCCATAAAGCAAAATGTGTCATATCTGATCTGGTTTTGAAGTCTTTTGTATCTGATGCTTTTTGAAAAATAATTTCTGTTTCTTTTCTTCATATGTTGTTGAGGGGCCAAAGAAAGACTTCAGACTAAAAAAATCCAATATTCTTCCTATTTTTCTTGGATCGGGCTTTAAAGGGTTAAAGCTGTTTTTTGGGGCTTTTAAAGCTATTTTTGGGGGGCTTTTAAAACTGTTTTTGGGGCTTTTAAAGCTGTTTTGGGGGCTTAACCCTATAAAGCCAAATGTGTGATATCTGATCGGGTTTCTTTTGGATGTGAGACTTTCTGCATCATTCAGTGGTAAAAGCTTTGCTCAAACCCCTGTTGTACACATTCAGATATACCTGATAACAGCCAGTAGAAGACTACACCAACATATATTTCTGACTTATTGCACGCTCATTTGATCAGAATCATTTCTGTTTTTTTTCTTCATATGTTGTTGAGGAGCCAAAGAAAGACTTCAGACTAAAAAAATCCAATATTCTTCCTATTTTTCTTGGATCAGGTTTTAAAGGGTTAAGATTTTACACAGACAGCAGAAGTATTTGACTCCTTGCTGATTTTGCAGGTTTGCCCACTTACAAAGAATGCTTATTTTTCCTCATCAGATGGTTATCAATTTTTATAAATTCATATGATGTGATTTTCAGGAATTTTCTTTGGGATTCTGTCTTTCACTGTTAGAATGTACATATGATTAAAGTTATAGATCGTTGCATTCTTTGTAAGTGGGCAAAACTGCAAAATCAGCAAGGGCTCAAATACTTATTTACCCCACTGTACATGTGAGATGAAGTGCTGATATTGTTTTTCACCAGTCTTTTACAAAGTCTGTATGTTTGGGAGAAATTAAATAAAAAGTTAAAATAAATAAATAAATTTAAAATAATAAAGATAATAAAATTAAATTAAAAAAATGATTTAAAAAATAATAATAATAAAAAAAAACATTTCCAAATGAAATCACAGGTCAATAAGGACCATCTGGGGAACGTAAAGCTAACTGAAGCTCAGAGGCAGATTGAACCAGAGTGGAGGTCTAAAACCGGCCCATCCGGACTGGAAGAGGCCTGTAAAGGTGGAAATGCAGAGTTAAAGGTGGAAATGCAGGTTAGACTCGCCCATGTTGGCCAGCAGGCAGGTGATGGCCTGCACGTCGGCGCCGGCGTAAACGTCGCTGAGCTGGCCGACCACCGGCAGACACAGGGTGTGCACCCGGATCCGCCTCTTCCCTGGAGGGTCAAAAGGAGGAGAAGTTAACTCATTAGCTGCCAAAGACGTCTATAAAGCAGTGTTTTTCAACCTTTTTTGAGCCAAGGTACATTTTTTCATTGGAAAAATTACTAGGCACACCACCAACCAAAAATGTTAAACAAATCTGTATTTGCCTATAGTAACACTATAGTTATTCTTATTTTATTCTTATCTTATCTTAAGTGTCTTGAATAGGAATCAAATAAACAAAAATGTATTTTTCTCATATTTTATATTTCTTCTTTCAAATTGCACTTAACATGTCCACTTCAATATACAAAATTAAATACAAAATCTAGTCATAAGGAATTATTACATGATTACTCCACCAGTCACTAGAACAGCACACACACTCAGAAATGGCATATTATTTGCAGATAATTAATTCCTTATCAAAAAGTCTTTTTAGACCAATGAGGTGAAATAGGATGGTTTTCTACAGCACACTAGTGTACCGAGGACCAGGGGTTGAAAAACACTGCTATAGAGTCTTTTATGTTTTTAACGAGAGTGTCTGGGGGACGATCTGCTAAAGCTTGTCCGTAAATATGGGCTTCTAGACAGAGTGTGTAGTAACAAATTGACCCTCTAGGGGGCAGTGTTTTTCAACCACTGTGCCTCGGTACACTAGTGTGCCGTAGAAAATCATCCTATTTCACCTCATTGGTCTAAAAAGATTTTTTGATATTTAATTATCTGCAAATAATTTTGAGTGTGTGCTGTTCTAGTGACTGGTGGAGTAATCATGTAATAATTCCTTATGACTAGATTTTGTATTTAATTTTTTATATTGAAGTGGACCTGTTAAGAAAAGTTTGAAAGAAGAAATATAAAATATGATAAAAATACAATTTTGTGTTTATTTGATTCCTATTCAAGACACTTAAGATAAGATAAGAATAAAATAAGAATAACTACAGTGTTACTATAGGCGGATACAGATTTGTTTGACATTTTTGGTTGGTGGTGTGCCTCGTGATTTTACATAGTCATAGCACAAACTATTCTGTGGCTCTAGAAAAATCAGTCAAAATGCTCAAAAAACTCTGGCAGTCACTGAGTTAAAAACGGTTCTGGGTTAATAGACATGGGGACAGCAGTTGGAGATAAAACGGGACCTTTGCTGGAGGTGTAGAGCAGCGCGGCCTGGAAACAGGCCAGAGAGGAGTCGGCCAGCGAGTCCTCGATGGACATCTGCACGGCGAAGGCGGAGTCGGGGTTCACGTTGGCGAGCGACAGCAGGTCGGTGGAGCGGACGAAGAAGTTCCCATGGAACGTGTGGATGGACAGACCTGGGGGGGGAAGGGGGCGGAGTTAGAACCCACGGGCCAATCGGCCATTTTGATTAGGTCACCAACAGGAAGATCCCAGTAATTGCTTCATGGCAATATAGACATTGGTTTAAAAATAGTGAAATGAATCTTTCAAACACTGAATTAAACTCTATCCATAATATTATGTTAAAATAGTGGATGTTAAATAGGTTTGTACAATAAGTCCAAACAAGTTTAACCAAAAATATTTATTTCTCACAATTATGAAGGGTCAGGGTTAGGGTCAGGGTCAGGGTTAGGGTCAGGGCTAGGGTTAGGTTTAGGGTTAGGGATAGTTTTAGGGTTAGGGTTAGGACATCGTTTATCTTCTGATTTCGTATAGACAGTAAAGTTTCGTTTCCATCTCAGAAAGCTGCTAGTCACATGACCTAATCAAAATGGCCGACTGGGATGTGGGTCAGGGTTAGGGTCAGGGTTGGGGTTAGGGTTGGGGTTAGGGTTGGGGTTAGGGTCAGGGTTAGGGTCAGGGTTGGGGTTAGGGTTAGGACATTGTTTTTATTCTGATTTCGTATAGACAGTAAAGTTTCGTCTCCACTTCAGAAAGCTGCTAGTCAAATGACCTAATCAAAATGGCCGACTGGGACATGGGTCAGGGTTAGGATTACGGTTAGGGTCAGGTTTAGGGTCAGGGTTAGGGTTAGGGTCAGGGTCAGGGTTAGGATTAAGGTTAGAGTCAGAGTTTAGGACATGGTTTATCTTCCTATTTCGTATAGACAGTAAAGTTTCGTCTCCTCCTCAGAAAGCTGCTAGTCACATGACCTAATCAAAATGGCCGACTGGGACATGGGTCAGGGTTAGGATTAGGGTCAGGGTTAGGATCAGGGTTAGGGTCAGGGTATCGTTTATCTTCTGATTTCTTTCAGACAGTAAAGTTTCGTCTCCACCTCAGAACGCTGCTTGTCACATGGCCTAATCAAAATGGCCGACTGGGACGTGGGTCAGGGTTAGGGTTAGGATTATGGTCAGGGTCAGGGTTAGGGTCAGAGTTAGGGTCAGGGTTAGGGTTATGTTTAGGGTCAGGACATCGTTTATATTCTGATTTCTTTCAGACAGTAATGTTTCGTTTCCACCTCAGAAAGCTGTTAGTCACATGACCTAATCAAAATGGCCGACTGACACGTGGGTCAGGGTTAGGATTAGGGTCAGGGTTAGGATCAGGGTTAGGGTCAGGATCAGGGTTAGGGTCAGGGTATCGTTTATCTTCTGATTTCTTTCAGACAGTAAAGTTTCGTCTCCTCCTCAGAACGCTGCTAGTCACATGACCTAATCAAAATGGCCGACTGGGATGTGGGTCAGGGTTGGGGTTAGGGTTAGGGTCAGGGCTAGGGTTATGGTCAGGGTTAAGGTCAGGGTTAGGGTCAGGGTTAGGATTAGGGTTAGAGTCAGAGTTTAGGACATCGTTTTTCTTCCGATTTCGTATAGACAGTAAAGTTTCGTCTCCACTTCAGAACGCTGCTTGTCACATGACCTAATCAAAATGGCCACCTGGGATGTGGGTCAGGGTTAGGGTTAGGGTGAGGGTTGGGGTTAGGGTTAGGGTCAGGTTTAGGTTTAGGGTTAGGGTTAGGGTTAGAGTTAGGACATCGTTTATCTTCTGATTTCTTTCAGACAGTAAAGGTTCTTTTCCACCTCAGAACGCTGCTTGTCACATGACCTAATCAAAATGGCCGACCGGGACGTTGGGGTTACCTTTGGTGCAGCGGATCCTCATGACGGCCTCGAAGCCGATCTTGCGGGTCAGGTAGCGCTCCAGGTCCCGCTGGAACTTGTCCAGCTGCGCGGGGTTGAGCGAGTGGTGGAAGGACGGGTAATAAAACACGCTGCCCGCCGAGTACTTAGAGATACAGGCTGGGAAAAGGAGGAATATCTTTATTAAGATAAGATAAGATAAGATAAGATAAGATAAGATAAGATAAGATA